CCATAGGTGGTGTCTTTAAAATGGTCTCTATGGTCTGTGCACCTTCTGAAGAGTAAGCCCCTTGATTCGGTGTAGCATGATGATACTGTCAAAATACCCCAGTTTTGCTTGCTGGCGCATATGGCGAAGGTAGCTGGTCATTTGGCGAAATTTGGAATGCCATAAGATCGAGTGAGCTTGTCCGTCACATGTTAGCAAACACCTAGAATAAGCCGCCACCGGACCTGACACAGGTGGCAGCTGTAAAGTAAACTTGCTCCAGCTAGATGAGATCTAAGACATCGCTTTACAAAATGCAACTAATGGGTGATGATCTGAATGTTGGTATGTTTCATAAGCTTTATGTATACTTTCACGGCATGGATTGTAGTCCACATGGATATACAAGGAATGGTACAAAATCTTTATATATGTAAATGATTCCATATAGAAGACATGCGTTTTTACAGAACAATTTTTCTTGCAAACTTATCAATGGAAAGGCCCTTCTATAAACCGGATGGTATAAGCAATATTCTTTCTCATAGTTGCTCATTTTCGGCTTCATTTCCAGACTGCTTAGCTGCAACTTATTGGCCTTAATTTATTCCTGTTTAGTCGCCAGGAAGGTCTTCAGTGTTTTCTTCTTTCTATTTTCATCTTTCAACCTGATCTTATTCGAAACCACCTGACCGAAACTCTGCAGACGTTAAGTCCAATGTAAGAAACGTATGTGTTCTGTGTCATCAGTATAGGATTTTTTCTTTCAACAGATAATTCATTGGAAAGTTGGTTTGTTTTCCGATTGTCTGAATGTTAACGTAAAACTAGCGCTTGTTTATTGGTAGCCATACAGTTGACGTAGCATAGCATATTAAATTGAAACTAAAGTTTATCTGGATTGTTCTGGCAGAAAGGTTTTGTACCTAAGCAAATGGCACACAAGATCCGGAGTTTCACCACCCTTTCAAAGTATAAATATCCTGGCAAAACAAAACGTTCACTTTTGGATGCTGAGCTTGTTAAGTGTCCTTACCCTCCCGATCAATTGTTTTCTCACTTTTTGTTCCATATTTGTCAGTATGCTAGGCAGGCCATAGTGGGCCGCGTGTAAAAAATGACGTAGCCATTACCGCAAGGTTGCATTTTTTGCGTATAGGTATGGCACGTTATCAAAATTTCAGAGAAAATTTGCTTAGGGTGTATTTTTCCAGCAGGTTAACTCCAGAACTAGGAGATGGGGCATTTGCAAGTGACGAAACTGGGAAATGATCATCTAAGAAGACAGTAAAATACTAAATTCTCAACTTTCGTGGGCATTATTCTATTCACTCCTAGGCGTACCTTGGTCTGCACATTTTCCCCGATAACTGACATTAGTTAGGCGACAACACTTAAAAATTTATTTTGTGGCAAGAGATGTTTCAGAATGCATTATTTTGTAATTCAGCGTGCAGGATGATCGTCTTGTGGTAGACTTCACACCACTGGATGGAGCAGCTACTATGACAGTGCTGTTGACTACTGTGTCGTTGTTATATCACTCAGGCAATTATGTACATTTACACTTTTCATGCGCAGGGATGCTTTGTGTCAAAACATAAAACGCAGCTTAAAAATTTGGCGCAGAATAAAAATATTTGAAGAAATATATACGTGACGTAACTTAGATTTTCACCTGATAGGTTCGCGATGGATATAAAAGAGAGACATGAAGCCTGCCAATTTTCAGATGACTCAGAGTCAGGTTATGCAACTGTTTCTCACTTTGAAATCCTCTCATTCTCAATTTGCAGTCTGTTAATTGCAATTTTTTTCCAAAATAACGTCACTAATCCAATAGAAAAAACTGTGGTCAACGTTTTGCTGACCAAGCAAAAATGCGTTTTTTCTCCTGGCAAAATTTTCCTCCAACAGTTTTAACAATAGTTATGCACCGTTGTGTTTGGTTTCAGATCGCTCAGGCCCTATTCGTTGGCCAATGTCCGTGTGCCGAAAAACTGCACTGCTGCTACGTCAAAAGTTGTGGCCATGCTACGTGAAAACTAGCAAAAACAATGTGCCTGTCTTTAGTTGGCCCCACTTGGAAATTCAGAAGTCAACTTAGTGCTGGAGACCTATTGTATTGGCCAGAAGCGACCACGTTTGTTCTTCCTGGAATGAGCTAATAAGGGTTTTCTGGTTCAAAAACTTGATGGATAGTAGCATAAAACAATAAAACAATAGGATAAATCCAATGTATGGCATTAGTCATAACTAGCGTGGTCATTGAACGGAAATAATATCATAACTATAGCACTTGCATCATGTCTTTTACTATCAAAGATGGCAGCTTATGTGTTAACACAACGCATTGGATTCTCCTTGTTGCCGATTCAGGCAAGGATTGTATCACCACACCAATTTAATGCTATGTCATGAAGTTATTCTCTGAGAGCACCGTCGTTAGAAAGCCTTATTAGAGTATCGTCTGTGCAAAAGTTCCAGTGGATGGAATTTCGAAGTCATTATGGAGGCTTCGTCGCATCAAAAGTGTTGAGGTGCGCAGTGTTGTGCAGGATGGTTATGTTGTTTTATCCGCTTTTAATTTTGTTGATTGCTGATCATGAACATTTGCCACCAAAACGAAAGCTCTGTCCATATATGTTCTTGTTCTCTTCCACCAAAAAACCAAATCCCATGCCCTGTTTTGTCGGCGTTCGAAACTTCGTAATTCTACCAAGGCGCACAATCTTATCTAGCCTTTTTCCTTAAGGTCGCCTTTGTTTTTCCGCCAATATTGTCTTTAACAGCATGCCAGAAGTCGTTCAAACATATGTCCATAAATAGTAAAACTAAACTGGTTACCAGGACTACTAGGCGTGAAAATGTGGTTCAGTACACGTACAGATTTAATAGAATATAACGTGAACATAGGAGGGAAAAATCAGGATTAGCAAAAAATAAAGTTTAGACGTTGTGAATACAGGTTTTCGTGCTCTCTGGCTAACGCAATCTGCCTCCTAGACATTAGTTAATCACCCAATACCTAAAACGCTGTGGACATGGTTTTTGGTGTTTTTAGAGAGCTCCAAGCGTTTGATCCAGATAGCACGGTCTTAAATTAGGTTTTGAACAGATTTCCGAGCACTAAATCGAAGAATGGTAAGTTTCGAGGAGTGGCTTGCCGCACGGGTAAACAGTGGCGTTGTCTGGATTAACTCGCACTAGATTATAGTGACCTGTACTTGCCCATGAAAGATTCACACGTGCTGGGCCACGTGACTGCTTGCTTGAAACTCAGAGCACTGTCTCAATAAGTCGTGAGCCCTTATCAGTAACATCTGATCGTCACAGCAGCTGTGATATTCCGTTAAGTTCTGAGCTTAATATCATGGTGAAAAAAAGCCAGAGAGGGCCAGATCACCTGTTCAGAACCTTACAGGAAGAATATTTTAGCCGGCTTCATTTACAAGTGTGCTGTATCGCCAGAAATTGATATGAGAGCAAAGTTGAGAACTGTTCAATCAGAGAATTCATATGATCCTTGGCGGTACCATTGTTCTCCTTTGAAAGACGAAAAACGAACCGCAACGGGTGGAAACAACTATAGTTGTTTCCATATATATATAGTGGCAAGGCCGTTACAGATAAAATCGTCTTCTAAAGTCAGTTAGTAACAGACGATCCTAATCAATTTATCGGGGAGCAAAATAAATATCACAATCACCACAAACTTTGGGTTCTTCATCTTTGTGACCTATGAGGAAGTCACTGAATAAAAATGTCACCTTATGTTGGTTTATGTGCGGTGCAAATGTTTTAAAGTGTTTGTTTCGGTCACATTTTTGTATTTGCTCAAGATATAACGGTTTAGTATGCAATCTCCCGTGACTTACACGGTTATTGTATGCACGCATTGTGAGTATGATAACCAATGTTCCATCCAGCGACAATGTATAACTATGCAATCGCAACTGAGATATTTATCGAGCAGGTCCAATTTTTATGAGGCAAACCAAGGGAAGATAGTTTACAGGGTTCGGGTACTAGAATCAGGTGAGGGTCTGGAACCAGCATTTGGTTCTCGAGTAAATTTTCATTAGATTTCACGGGATTCACGGTGGTTGATTACGGCACATGTTACTTAAGATAGTTTATTATCAACTCACCACTCAAGATATCAGCAGACTTTCCGCCTGCTGTGCTCGAAAAAGTGACAGATTTCTTCTCGGTGGTTGGTGTAAATATTCCCTCACTGTGAAATGGGTTGCTTTCATAGATCTCACGAACAATGTCAGAGTGAATATCTTCACAAGCTTCATTTGTGAATCCGTCATCCGATTCGCTCGCTTTCTTCTTTGGCGCAATGGACCCGCTATTTCTGCGCAACATCCTTCGGAAATCGACGAGTCAAATAACAAAGTTAAATAACCGCCGCTGAAGGTCACAACCTAAACACGAGCATTCTAGCTAATTAAAATGCTTCATTAGGTTAAAAATTCACAGGTCAATTTGAAGCCAAGACCCTTCGCCCTCTGAATTCCATTCCTCGGGTTTCTAAACACGGATTAATGTCCCAGCGGGCTTCTTGAGGATCTGCCAAAGTGAGCACTTTAGGCTTGACCTTCAAAAAATCTCGGAAGCTTGCCTTCTTCACAAGGTTTACGCAGGCTGCAGGCCATACGTCGGAGAGCCAGAAAGAAGATGAGGTACTTTATGCGCAGAAATTTAGAAGCACATTTAAACCGTTAAGGGCTCCGTGATATAGGCCAAAAGGTGGCGTGAGTTCTCACACGTGTTTCAAGCGTGACACGGGGCCGGGTCTTTTAGAGATTCCGAAGTAGCTAAAACCGCTTCGCCCCGCTTTTCTCATTCATCACCCTTTCCTATTCCAGTGGTTCCTCGCCATCCTCATGTTCTTCTTCTCAGATTGCTCCTTGGTTCATTTCTCACACAGGTTTCTTTCACGCAATTTTAAGCTTTCCGTATTCATTATTCATGTCTCTTTGCTTTCCACCGTTGTACCTGGAAATGTTTTTTCACGATTCCTCTACAGACTGAAACACTGACGTTGTAGATAAGATCCCTTCGACAATGTAGGGAATGTTCCATAGTTCCAATGAGGCCAAAGGAATTTGGACCCCAGGAGTATCTTCAAAAAATCTTGAGATGACTGCAGGAGATTCCGCCATCAGGCGGCTGTTTCCATCTCGCGTTACATCGTCTTTATCAAGAGGAAGCGATGGCTGTGATAGAAGTTATTGCTAAGACTAGGTGAGACGGCATAACGTGATTCCATAGCCCTGTGAATTTCCTTATTTTCGCCCGTAAACAGAATTAGCTTGCGTGAAAAGAGTCACCGTTTTGGATCCTTTTCTTGACGTATGGACCAACCAGAACATCTGAGTTTTTACTGAGGTGACCACTCTACAAATCTCAGCAAGTTGCGTCTGAAAATCATATTAAAATGGGTAGACAGACCGGTGCAATTGGTAGAGGGAAGTCACCTGTAATAGGTTTCTTGAGGAACAGTTAGTTCTAATGCATGGAGCCATTTGAGCGCTGCTTGTAAACTAACTGAATATGTCGGCCAGGCAAAACTGAATTGCAGCGCAGCACGGGGGTGGTTGGTTCGGAGAGGAGTGTCCAGTGCATCAAAGCAAACTCGTGTCAGAGTCGGTTGAGCCAGGCTGAAGGTTTATTCGTAGTTAAAAGTAAAGCTTTCGTTAGGTGAGATGGGACCACCCATAATAGGAAAAGAATAGCCGGGAATATGCCATCGGATGGTGCATGACGGTGAGTCAGTTTCATTGTACTAAAGTACTTAGGTTTTTGAACAGCTTTGTAACGGACGTCTAGTTTGTGGTGATTCGACAAAGGGTTAATGCAGGGGCTTAATGTAGGCAGATTCAAGTTGATATAGGATTACAGATAATTTTGTTTCCGGTGAAGATACATTTAGGCGTAAATTTGGAACTGGACAGAGTGAGCAGCGGTTATACTAGACCTTCGGAGCATCCACGGTCTAAGATTAAGGATTAAGGAAAGAAGAGAATTGGATAAGATCATTAGAGCATGGCAAGTATGTAGTGGGGCTAAAAGTGGCTCTCACTGATAGAAAAAATCTGAAGGGAGATGTTAGCCAGCCAAATTTGGCTACGGCTTTGACTAGTTGGGTTAAAGGCATGGGACAGTCTAATCTTGGTCCTCGGGTTTTTAAGGTATAATTGGTTTGCAAATACGGTGGTACTATCTAGCTAATGTGTGTTTCTCATCGTTCTCAAAACTTATGAAACGTCATCCTGGATGCATAAATTCATCCTGATAGCATTACAAAGGTCAGAACTACTGAGCTTTTATGTCTGTGTGAGTAAGGTGAATGGTTTTATAAAGTGCGGCCATCACTTGTTAATTCCAGGGCTTCATTCACTCGGGGTAAAATAGTGTCATTCAGCGTGACTAACACCATTTTGCTGTGGTACCATTAAAAACAGGGCTGGAACTATGGGGTGCATTGTGAAAGTGTATTTTATTCAGCGCCAGTTCGTCAGCGCTCACTCAGAAACCACAAGACGCACGCACGGGATACCATGCTTTCCTCACTTGAAGTCATCAGGTTTGATTCTCATAGGAATGGGCCTAATACACACTCTGTCCAGGATAAATTTTGCTTGACAGGTAATGCTGAGCGTGAAGAGCAGTAAACCAAATATCTGAATTAAGCCAATCAACAGTAACTCAACATTTCGAACGCAGAGAAATTACTGAGCAATAAGTTCAATTTGGCCGTTGGAACGGCGTTATCCTGCCGCCCTGTAGTGTAAATCCAGGGCCGTTCTGACGCTGACAGGCTCTTTTGAGAACAGTTTTTAATCTTGTGCAAACAGCATCCGTCTTTTTTCATCAGTACTCGGTGTGGTTTTGCCAGACGGTATGCCACCCACAAGTTGGGGATAAACAATATTATAATTGTAATCTTCTATTCCGCTTCTGGTTTAGCTGCATGAGGAAGACACAATGCAAGCGCTCAGACAGCTGGCAACAACGTTACAAAGAAAAACATAAGGTGCCTATTATGTCTACAGGCTGGAATAAAATAGCTTATCAGAGATATATACATGATATTTAGCAAGCTAGGATAAACATCTAATGCCGCTGCATGCAATTACCCTATCTAAATCTACCCTTGGTGTGACCAGAAAAGTGGTGATTAAGTTCCTGTTTGGATACCGGGTAAAATCCGTGAGTAAGCACTGCCTGGTGGTGACCTCTGGGTCATTGTCATCCCTGCTAACGATATCCTCTCCAGACAGAGGAATGCTACCCACATTATGGGTGAAGTATGTAGTGGGGCTAAAAGTGGCTCTCACTGATAGAAAAAATCTGAAGGGAGATGTTAGCCAGCCAAATTTGGCTACGGCTTTGACTAGTTGGGTTAAAGGCATGGGACACCTACGGCTTTAGTTGGGTTAAAGTCATGGGACAGTCTAATCTTGGTCCTCGGGTTTTTAAGGTATAATTGGTTTGCAAATACGGTGGTACTATCTAGCTAATGTGTGTTTCTCATCGTTCTCAAAACTTATGAAACGTCATCCTGGATGCATAAATTCATCCTGATAGCATTACAAAGGTCAGAACTACTGAGCTTTTATGTCTGTGTGAGTAAGGTGAATGGTTTTATAAAGTGCGGCCATCACTTGTTAATTCCAGGGCTTCATTCACTCGGGGTAAAATAGTGTCATTCAGCGTGACTAACACCATTTTGCTGTGGTACCATTAAAAACAGGGCTGGAACTATGGGGTGCATTGTGAAAGTGTATTTTATTCAGCGCCAGTTCGTCAGCGCTCACTCAGAAACCACAAGACGCACGCACGGGATACCATGCTTTCCTCACTTGAAGTCATCAGGTTTGATTCTCATAGGAATGGGCCTAATACACACTCTGTCCAGGATAAATTTTGCTTGACAGGTAATGCTGAGCGTGAAGAGCAGTAAACCAAATATCTGAATTAAGCCAATCAACAGTAACTCAACATTTCGAACGCAGAGAAATTACTGAGCAATAAGTTCAATTTGGCCGTTGGAACGGCGTTATCCTGCCGCCCTGTAGTGTAAATCCAGGGCCGTTCTGACGCTGACAGGCTCTTTTGAGAACAGTTTTTAATCTTGTGCAAACAGCATCCGTCTTTTTTCATCAGTACTCGGTGTGGTTTTGCCAGACGGTATGCCACCCACAAGTTGGGGATAAACAATATTATAATTGTAATCTTCTATTCCGCTTCTGGTTTAGCTGCATGAGGAAGACACAATGCAAGCGCTCAGACAGCTGGCAACAACGTTACAAAGAAAAACATAAGGTGCCTATTATGTCTACAGGCTGGAATAAAATAGCTTATCAGAGATATATACATGATATTTAGCAAGCTAGGATAAACATCTAATGCCGCTGCATGCAATTACCCTATCTAAATCTACCCTTGGTGTGACCAGAAAAGTGGTGATTAAGTTCCTGTTTGGATACCGGGTAAAATCCGTGAGTAAGCACTGCCTGGTGGTGACCTCTGGGTCATTGTCATCCCTGCTAACGATATCCTCTCCAGACAGAGGAATGCTACCCACATTATGGGTGCGAGGACATTATGGTGAAAAACATAAAGTTAGGGCACGCCAGCACCACACGGAGTCTCGTCGGTCAGCGTTATGCCTCAGCGGGAGTGTGACATTAGGACCCGAATAGAGTGTTGTAATAAGGCCGTCGTTTTCGGAGGTTTCGGGTCAATTTCTCGCATTTTTCAGTGCCTTCAGCTGCACAAGTCCGCAAACAACCATGTGGCTTGCGACCTAAAATACCCGTACTCTTACTTGAGCAGCAGTCGGAAGAAACGGATTAATAATAAAATACGTGGGAGCATTCAGACTCGAATGACCTTAGCGTTGGCCGCGGGAACCAGAGTTTGTGGTTGTCGTTCATTTGTATTTTACTGTCTGTTCAACACCATATAGCTTCCATCCCTTTGTTGGATAGAGCACCCAGCAATAATTCTGCAATATCGTTGTTGGGGGGCGCCAAAGAGACTTATTAGGGCTTTTCGGACAGGTTTTTGTCGATTTCGCCTTACGGGAAACCGAATAAACTAAAACTACACCTTTTTGAAATAAAACACATCATTTTTAAGGTTCCTTTCTATGAATTTTTACTAAATGTGGCGCGGTTGATGCGGCACCTACTCAGTGTCGCCATCCACACTACGTGAGAACATCAGTGATTTGCTACACATAAAATTGTCAGTTTATTCCGGTGAATACTTATGCGGGAAGGAAAAATAGGGCAGGGAGACTTGCCTAGGGTTACTCTACCTTGAAAGACCAAACTGCTTACACCCGCACCCCACTGTACACTAACCATCATACGGTATGAATGGCAATGGCATTCATTGGATGCCTTGTACTTTACTGTCTCCGGCTAAACAGCGGAAGGCTTATTTGAATCCACTCTTCAAAGGCAAACTTCACAAATAGCACAAAAATCTTTTTGCAGCATTCTTTATCAAGTTCCACAGTGTAATATCCATGTCCAGGTTCCCCACTCTGAAAGGGCACGGAAAACAGAGCTCACCCCTCAGGTAGTAACACGGCTAGTGTAATAACTAGACTCTCCACCCTCATTTACACTGTCGGATGCATTCTTTGAGGACAATTCCATGCGTTTCACCAACAGCCGTCTACTGCTTATCTTATTCCGAACTTGCCGATTTCAGTCGACTTCAGCTGTAGCTCTGAGACATCGGTAGTACGACGCCTGAAGATATCTTACATGGTCTTCTCAAAATCCCGGCGTTGTACAACAATACACCCACTGTTGTGTTCTGGTACATGCGTCCCAGCGATGCGCTCGCCTGATGGCTTCGGTGATGTTCTTTGGGTCTTCACTGTCAGTGCAGTGACTGTGTTCCCACTAATGCAACCTCAGGGATAAGCGTGTAGCTCATAATCTCCACCATTACCTCCTTGACTTTCAATGGAATGTTGCAAGTGCTGTACATCAAGCAGCATCATTCTGCTACGTGCACTCTTGTCACGTGGTTCAAGCGCTATCACCTTCAAAAAACGGTTGTGGACTGCTGTCCGTTGATGCCTTCTTACTACCATGAACCCCGGTTTGGATAGCCGCTTGATTGTCACGTGGTTCAAGCGCTATGACCTTCAAAAAAACGGTTGTGGACCACTGTCCGTTGATGCCTTCTT